TATTCTTCAAGCTGCATCAATGTTTTTGTCTTTTGTTGTTTTGGTTTTTTTTTCCTTGTCTGATGTTTGTCATCGTTTTCTACCAGTTCCTTTAAGTCCCTGGCATACACTGCTGCTGACAGAATGATTGCCATGAATGTAGAAGGTGAAGGTGAAATGGATTTCTCTCAGTGCTTTCCTTTCCACAGGAGAGTGATCTCCTCTTCTCAGCCGTACTCAGCCTGCCACCTTCAAGACCTTGCTGATTTATATAGATTATCAATTTGACAACTCTACACACCTGCAGGTTTAATTGCCCCCATTTCCTTGAGACGTGGACAGATTTATGACATTATCCAATTCTTGTATGTCTGGAGCATGCTTGATTAACCTCCAAAGTCTCTGACGTTGCTCAGTCACTGAGAATTTCTGATCTTTGGACCCTTTGACAGATTCACCCTCCCTCCCTTCCAGAAAGAAAAATTAATGTGCTGCAGTAAGGATAATCAGCTTCCCATCTTTCTTTTTATTTGGCATATTGATATATTTAAAAGCTTCTCTGTTAGAGCTTTCTGTCTGAGTTGAAGTAGATTTGCTTTCAGATCTCATTCATCAGTGACAATTGTTAAACTGGCACTAGCAGGGAAAAAGCCTTTTCTGTGCTGGCTCTGAGCCTGCCTTTCCTGGGACCAGAATCCTAAACATGATAAAAATGACACTGTTAACACAGGGTAGCCTCTTGGGGCTGTGTAGCAACAAAGACCACTTTGTTGACAAAGACTGAGCACAGTTGTCACATATCAAGGACTTGCCTTTCAATAGTGTTGGCCTCTTCAGAATGGGTGACAAAATAAGAAAAACAACTAAGGGTATATCATTCTATAATCAACAGTATTATCACCACCACCACCCCATACTAAATGTTGCCGCCCTTTCACCTATCAACAATGCAAACCTACAGACAAAGGAACCCAGCTCCTTCTTCCTCTTCTCAGTTCTACTGCCAACAAACCCACAACGAACAGTTCTGCCAACCTTCCTCCAGGTGACCTGAAAGAAAACAAAACAACATCTTTGATTCTTCTCATTGGCAAATTTGTCCCTTTCACCTCCTGTCAGCCCCACATACCATATTAAAAAGCAAAGTATGCTGCTTATATACCGCCCCATAGTGCTTCAAGCACTCTCTGGGTGGTTTACAAGTTAATTATGGAGGCTACACATTGCCCTCCCCCAGCGAGCTGGGTACTCATTTTACTGACCTCAGAAGGATAGAAGGCTGAGTCAACCTTGAGTCAGCTACCTGGGATTGAACCCCGGGTTGTGAGCACAGTTTTGGCCACAGTGCGGCAATTTAACCATTATCTCTATACCTTGAAATCTAGTAACAAATAACAGTTCCTGGGTCCTTTCTGTAATTCATTTAGACGATGCAATCAAATTCCCTACCCTCTCACTCATGGGCTTTTAAAGGCTCATAACACATCTTCTGTATTAGAAGAGGAAATCACACCCCTACTTCTCAAGGACACAACGACTTCTATTCCCATGATTTCACAGTCCCAAGTTTGATGGGGGCCTTTGCTCCATTCTAGACCTCAGGGACCTCAATTACTATATAAAGCCCAAATACTTTTATGTTGTAATTTTAGAAATCATCATTCCTTTTCTAAGGAAGTGGGACTGGTTCATGGTCATCAACCTAAAGGATGCATAATTGCGCATCAGTATATGACCTGACCACCATAGACTCCTAAGGTTTGCACTCAATGACACATTATTCGAGTTCAAAGCCCTTCTCTTTGGACTGTACACTGCCCCAAAGTGTCTTGCTGCAGTTGCTGCATACCTCTGTCTTCACAACATCACTGTCTTCATAGATGCCTGGCTAATTCAAGATTCTCAGTTAAAGGCAGAACAGAATGTAACGGCCTCCTTCTACCTCACAAA